ATGACGTCTTTTCTGTTGACAATTGATATTCTTCGATTAAAGATTGGTTCACTCCATCCAATTGTTCACAATAAAGGTCTGCATTAACAGTTTGTCAGGTTTCAGCAATTCAAAATGAACAATTCCGCGAATACTCCATCAAACACCCAGAAGCGCCTTTTCTTGATGTAAACCCTTTGAAACTTGAAATGTTCTTCGATGGTCGACCAAGGTTGGTGGATTTGCTTCTACTTCTGCCCTTAGCATGTTGTTGTCGACATGCGCAGAAACGACATTACTTTCCGAACCCCCTATTTCGTTAAAAGATATTTTCTCCCCCCTTTCTGCATGCCTTTGGTAACGGTAGTACACTCGGGGCGTATTCGAGAGGTTCAGATTCGAGTCCCGGCGAGGGCATTGCTCATTATTCACGTCTTCCGGATAAAAAAAAAAAATTACTCGACAGTGGCGCCCGAACTAAAAGGTAGTGGATGATGATTCTTTACCACCAGGATTTGGCAAATGAGTCCCGTAATCCCCAGTCGCCCTTTACTAGGGGGAGTATGTAAGGTATTTTGTCATTGCATGCCGTCATGGAGACCCGAACGGTAGCAACACGTTCGGGTCTCGGCCAGGACATTGAATATTTTTCATGTCTCCTCCTTCCAAATAACCTAATGTCACTGTGAAGTAAGCACCTAGTTTTTTCTTACAGATTTGGAATTTCGCTATAGCCGGTTAAAATAACATTAAGTGTATACCAAATTGGATGGGACCAAAAAATCCGTTCTTTCATTGTAAATCGCGCCTGTTTATGACAAATGAATATTGTGGTCTAGTTGATTCATTTGATTATGGTAAAGGTTACCAGAGGGTTATATGCTTAAGCGGAGGGATGCCTTCTGGTAAACTTTCTAAGGGGAACTGGCTCCTATACACGTTACAGATAGGCAAGATCACGAAAACGCCCTTGCAGCCAGCCCGTTCGCCGAGGTTTGAATCCCGGAAGCATGTTTCACAAGTGCACATCAGCGTAGCCACTAAGGGAGGAGTTTCGAAAATGGACCAATGAGCTGCTATTGCTCTTTTGACGCTAAATCTTCTTGCATGTGAGCATATGTCGTTTACGTTTTGATTTGCATTTGTTTCGCAGTTATAAATATATGGCGTAATAGTAGAAATCTTGTAGTGCTTTCGTTTTCTGAGTTTAATTAATCGCTGACAATTCACTTTCGCGATTTTTATCACGCATTAATAGTTGGATTGATGTTCACTGCATATTATTAAGAGAATTCAAGTGTATATTTTTTTAATTGAGCTGAGAATGACTGAAAGGTTTGCAACGAATCTAATGTTTTCTTATTTCAGTGCTTGCATTCTTTTGATTTTGAAAGTGTAAGATTCAGAATACATATAATCTGATGATATCCATTGCTAACATTAAAAATTATATGTAAATTAAATTGAATATATTCGTTGTGAGTAAGATAAATTCACTCTGTTTGATGAGTATTATTTCTTGTGTAGACAGTACATTTAAGAGCCAGTTATTAAATGAGAAATTTAACACAAATGTATACGAATGCGAATTAGTAAAGTTCACTTTGAATAAAATTCTGCATTGCTTATTATTATAGAACATCTTTTTCATATAGACAGCAATAAAAAGTGCTGACTTCTATTTACATATATAACTGGTGTAAATATTTTTCTCATACGCATAGTTTTATGTAAAGATTGCATTTTGGATCAGATGTTTATCACATATTTCTTTCTTCATCTTATTTACCACTTATTAAGTAATATTTCACATCGATATTTTTGCGAAGTATCCAACATGTGTTTGTATTTATTTCAAACATGTAGTGAAATCTTCATAACTGCCTATATTTGAATTAACTTCGCAATGAAAAGTTTCAGAAGCAATCGACGATGCTTTAATTATTTTGTACAGAACGTTGCGTGGCAGAAAATTTTCAACCACCTTGCTTAAATCTTAAAGCACGCGAAAGGTCATGAGACATGACAGATATATCACAGGATGCTCATTGGTCCATCGTACAAGCCACTCCCTCAGTGGCTACACAGATGTGCACTTGTGAAATATGCATGCCGGAAGGAATTGACAGTGTTTAGCGACTTTAGTGGGCTGAAATGTCTATTATCTAGTGACAATTACTATTCATTTATAATTTACTATTTGTCGCTAGCGTTACGAATTACATTTAAGGAAAATCATCAGAAACGACGATATTCACAGGCATATATTAAAAATTTTTTTCAAAAAATTTATTTGTAAGCTATATGCATCACAATAACGATTTTTAAATCAAAGAAGAATAAAAGATTGGCTAGTTTTGAGCTTTAAAAAAGTGAGTCGGAAATCGACTTAAAATAGCTAAACAATTCGTGCATCTTTTCACCCGAATTTGTGCAGACATCTCTTCCATTGTTCAGGGTATTCGTCGAACACAATAGCCACTTTGTTTTCGCTTGGTGGCTGTTACTTTAGATTCAATGCAGCGTGCAATCTCTCCGGAGAGGAAAGAGAAAGAATTGATAAAACGTAATCGCTGTTTGTTTCGGAGAAGCGTTAACTTCCAATTAATCAACTCCTTCCATTCCAACACCGTTTTGTTTGTTCTGGAGTTAGCTGAACCGAGCGTAAAAAAAAAAAAAATAAAATGATTCACTAAACTGGGGTCGAGACAATGAATCCTTACACGTGGCAAAGGCGGCGCCTTCTCTACGAACAAAGCTTTGTTTTCAACGTGCCGTGAGGCTTAGTTGCTTTAGCATGCTAAAGCTAAAGAAGATAGACGTAAAAAAAGTCTTGGGCGGGAAAATTTCACGTGAACCAGATCAATGAAAGGAAAGTGGCATTTGTTCATGCCAGCGTCCATTTGAGTGAGAATTTCATTTACAAGTTATTTTTTTTAACCCTTTCCGACACGCTAGCTTTTAAAGTCGGAGTTTTAATAGAAAAAAAAGATAGGCAGTCTAATTAGGCCTAGAGGAGTACACAAGTAAAATATTGTGAAGATAGCACTTATCGTTTTAATTCTGTGGGTGTGTCCAAAGTGGTACACTGATTGAATAGTGCTTCGAAAAGAGTGCTGAAACGAGCATTGTTGTTAATGAACTGACCGATGAGATGCGGAGAAACAAAGAATACAGACTCTGAGTTGTTCTAGATGATCGGTGAGCCCGGTCTGGGCACAGCTAGGGTTCGCCGTTTGATTTTAAGCAAGATTTCAAGGTAAAAATTTAAAATTAATGTAGAATGAGGAGCTTAGCATACAGCCAAAAATATAACATAGAAATTTCTTTTCAAAAGATTCCTTTTATACCCTAAAAAAATCTGGAAGTTTTCTTTAAAAAATGAGTCTTAAAAAACTAAACATAGCTAAAATATATGGACTGGTTTGTGTTGAGCTGCCATCTACTATAAATAAAGAAGGTTCAGAGTAACCTATAAATCCTTTTTCATTCAATTTTTCTGTTCGTACAGAAAGAAATTTCTGAGGTGTGTCCAGACCGAACACACTGTGCCGTAAAGGGTTAATCCTTGTATGAAGAAAAGGAAGTACTGCAATTGTGAAAAATTTTGGTTATCTTATTTCAACGAAATTATCCAATTTTTCTACTCTCGAATCCATTTCAACGTTGTTTTTGCGTGACATCTGTACGTATGGCAGAATAAAGGACTCTTTTTTTTTTTCTGTGCACCTCACTTTTTCTTTGTAATCTTCCGCCCCAGACGAATATAAATATAAAAATGTAAACATTTAATTACAAAATAATATTAAAAAAACATAATATAATCATGTATAGTATTTTCGCGCATTAGGTGCTGAAATATGATCAGTAAAGACATAAAGTAAGAAATTTAGATCCAGTTTTCCACAAAGAACAAAAATTGAAATTCAAAAGTAATAAATTTCGTAAAATCCTATAAATGTAAAAAATAATTTAGGAAATGTTTTAACTAAAAAACGTCAAACAAGTAACGCCCTAATTCAAAAAATCAATGAAATTTAAAGAACAAAGAATATAATAGACGAGGAATTAAATCAATTTCAATACCACTTCGTCAGGAGGAGGAACATTGAAATTGATTGAAATCTCTCCCCCCTCACAAACAAAAATCCTTACTTTTTCTGTATCCAGAATCAGCGGATGAACCATTCCAATGTATTTTAATTATCATAGTTCACGCGAAAATTCTGGCCCTTCCCCAAAGCAAGGAAAAACCAAAGTAAATTCAAATCAAAATTTTAAATTTCAACAAAGAGAACTTTATTCAACGAATTGAAAAGTGAAATTACAAAATACTTTTTTATATTTATTTATTACTTTTTTATGAAATTTATTACTTAGGAATTTCAATTTTTGGTCTTTGTGAAAACCTTTTCTAAATTTCTTACTTTATATATATATATATATATATATATATGGTGTGGTGGTGTGTTGGTTAATTGTGAATTTTTTGCTTTAAAAGAGATTGAATTTTCTTGTTCTTATCTTCCGGTTAAGGTTTTTATACCTTCAGTTAATCTGCATGCAATAGTTGTAGAGTTATTAACAATTTAAAAGTTGCGCTAAGGAGGGCGTTAACGAGACATCCATTTCTTTACATTTGAAATTCTTAGTAGAACAGTGAATTAAGTCAGTTGGAGCACCAACTTTAGTGTCTTTTGCCTAGTGGGACCAAAGTTAACTTTCAATTTTTTTTTGCACCGAAAATTTTATCTTCCTGCCCGCTGGCAGAATTGTTTGATTTTGTGTAGAAACTCTAATTTTAATTGTGAAAGTCTTTTTAACTGTATTTGTTGTTTTAGTCTTTTCTGTATTTACAGTTTCTAATGAAGATTGAATTTTTGCGTGTTTTTTTACCTTGCTGCGAAATGAGAACTGAATTGATTGAATTCGAAATATATTTCAAATGAAATTGGAGGAAATAGGCTTTAAAGTGCAGCAAAAGATGTGTATAACTTAATAGGCCGTGCCAGGAAGTCGTATTTCTGTTCACATCAAATTTTTATTTATTGAAATAGAAGTATTCGGTACATAGATGTCAAAATCTGTTCAAAATGCGTTTAGGTGAACTCCGTTCTGCAGCATTTTCTTCTACGTTTTCTTTCAGCCTTCCAGAAGTAAGACTTCTTCGAGTTGCAGTTTCTTAAAGACGCTGATCTGCAGATGTGGGATATCCTTAACAGCCTCTTCTCTCACATTTCTGGAACAACGCTGCTTCCTCTCCATGTAATCAGTTCGATGAGCCAGTTCTAGTACGGCGTCCATGACTGTTTTTCCACATTGTCGTGCGACTGCATCGGAAGCACAAAGAACTTCGTAAGCTTGCAACCTGAGGAAAAAGAACATATTAGTCTATACCAGAGATAGGAAACATTTTTACCACGATAGCGTTTAAGTGAAGCAATTATAAAGGAGGCCGCATATGCTGATGTACTTATAAATGCGACTTTCGTGAAATTATTATAGTTTTGTGTAGTTTAATCACTATTTGGAAGTAATGCAAAAAACATTAAGTCGCTTTGTAAAGTTTATCGTACGTTTTCTAACAGTTAATTTTTAGTTAAAGTTACTTTCCTGTCCATTCTTAATTTCAGCTTACAACTTCCGGCCAAAACGTATTTACAGAATCGCGGTCCAATGCAAACGAGGAAGAGAAGTATTTAACTTTGAAGTTCTACTGACGTCGTTAGAGAGCCAGATATTCTGAGCAGCGCGATTTCGTCTTTTAGGCTAGTCTCTGTCTTAAGCTATTATTACGCTCGGCCGTACTTTTAGGCCCTTGATAGCTTCGCCGTTAAGCTCCTTAACGCTTGATAGCGTTAAGGAGCCAACTCTGTTAGAATCTTGATAGCTTCGGCTATATCATTTTAGTTACGTTTAGTTAAGTTTTACTTCTTAATATTCCTGAGTTCAAGCCCAAGTGGAGGCTTTGTTGTAAACTTTAAGAAGGAGTTGTCTGTTAAATTTATTTTGAATAATAAAGGTTGAGTTCTGCTTTCTGTCTACTGAACTAAGCTATTATTCGTTTACCAGTTCTTAAGGTTGCTCATTCTTAGTTGTAATTTAAAGGTTGGAGACTTATTAAAATAAAAACTTGCAATATAAAATACTTTTGTGTTCACATAAGACTAATAAATTATTATAACATTAATAAATGTTTAATGAATAACTACGTGTATTTAACTATCTTTTCAGATGAAAAGATTGAAGTGGGAGTATTTTTCAATAAATTTATTACATTATGAAGAAAAGCAATTAAAAGCAATAATATTAAGTTATAAAAAACCAACATGGCAACAATATGTGAAATAATGTTAAAATTCGATGGAAAATTTAATTTTGTGCGATATTTGCATTTGCTTTTTGCCTGAAAAAGTAACTGAATATTTGTATCAGGATTCGTAACGCGCAGCGTTAGTCAACTCTCTAGATGTGCATCTGTAATTTGCGCTCTTAAACTAGTTTTAATTTTTGTCGTGAGAGAAAATGTTGACTCGCAGCAGTAAGTTTGGTGACTTCTGTACATATATGTCTCGCATAACTCAAAAACGATTAGCCATAAAACGTTAAAATTTGTATATGGCACTGCTATAACAACTAATTGAGCTTATCCTCTTTTCCACTGTAATCGGCAAAACCAAACGCGTGTATATACATGTTACATATGTGTGTACCCACCCCCTTACCTGGCATAAAAGTCCTTACTCGGCCTTGATTTTCGCAATCGTTGGCCGTAGTTAGGTACTTCCAAATACGGATATGTTTTAAATGACGAAGATATTCTTCTTTGGGCAACGTCAAATTTAAAAACAAATTAATTTGGACAATTAACGAAATCTGAGTAAATAAAATTTTAAGAAAAAATAAATTATAAGAAGTTTGACTTTCGAATGAGAAAATTGGATCGGGATATTTAATTTTAGAATTAGAAGTTGTTGATGTTATTTTCAACTTGCTTTGACGAATCGTTTAATTAAATTAGAAAAATTCGAGGAAATGAGTTTAAATGGTGTGCTGAAGAATTATTATTATTTTTGGGAGCTTAAAATATAGACCCTACTAAAGACGAAGCAGCGAATTCTTGCTATGTCTTGAAATAAACACGGCGAAGATTATAACAACCTTTTTATTTGCTGCTCACTTGGTGACACAAAATTGTATGTACAGTAAAAATGGTTCGGTTTGTGCCATTATGGCAAAGCCTCGAGGGCTATCTGCTTTAGTGTAGGGATGCCTTTGTGGAGGACTTTCTAAGGGAACTCGTATACCCGTTACACATGGGAAAAAGCATAAAAACGCACATGCAGCCAGCCCGTTCGCGGGATTCGAACTTCGGACCGAACTACCAGTGTTCAGCGAGTTTACCGGTTCGGCGCAGGGGGACCTTGCAATAAGAATGAATTAAATTTTAACTACACGACTCTCTCCTATTTCAATCTAAATCCGATTTATCGGCTGCGTCTAGACTTTAAATCTGAATCTAGACTATTAATACAGAGTAAAGTAAGTGGCTAGCACAAAATATTCAGCAACGGAGCTACTTAGAAACACGCGACATAAAATCGTAACTAACTCTTCTACCGGAACTCTTAAATTCTGCTACACAAATATTATTTCCGAACTCATTTAGATTTGCATATACGTCATTTAAATTTGCATTCTGGAAGGAAATTCAAATCAAAAGGAAAGGAAAGTTAATTGTGAAGGCGGTTGCTAATTTTTCATCTTTCCTACTTCCAAAAATCCTAATGAATCTACAGTGGTGTCAGAACTTAAAAAAGGGTGTTGGATGATGATTCTGCTCACCCAGGATTTGGCGATTGGTTCCCCTAAAAACCTCAGTCGCCCTTTAAAAAGGGGATTATATAAGGTATTTCTCCCGCCTTCTTAGCGTGCTTTCGTGGTGTAGTGGTTAGCACACTAAGCCGGTATTTCAGAGGTCCGTGGTTCTCGCGAAGGCGATTTCTAATTTTCCATCTCTCCGACTTCCAAAAATCCTAATGAATCTACAGTGGTGCCCGAAATAAAAAGGGTGTTGGATGCTGATTCTCCTCATCCAGGACTTGGCGATTGGGTCTCCTGAAAACACCAGTCGCCCTTTAAAAGGGGGGAGCATATAAGGTATTTCTCCCGCCTTCCTAGCCTACCTTTGTGCTGCAGTGGTCAGCACAATGAGTCAGTGTTTCAGAGGTCCGTGTTTCAATTCCCGGCGAAGGCGATTGGTAATTTTTCATGTCTTTTGCTCCCCCAGCCCCCAAAAAAATCCTAATGTGTCTACAAGCCATAGAAGGAAATCGCGGTGTCCCCATCAGATTTTTTTACTTTGCACGGAAAATATAAGAAACTGCAGTAGTTTATGGAATATTACCCTCTTTGGTCACATAAACTCTACTAGATCCTGCTTTACGAAAGTGCTTTACGAAAACAAGTGCTTTACGAAAACACCGACCACTTGCGGTGGAACTTAGAATTGTGACACATAAAATTTAAGACTAATTTAAGAGTAGTGCTGGCTGGCACTTTAAGTTAAGGCTAACTAGGTTGATTCGACAACCTTGACGTGATAATTATTTAAATGGCCAAAATGCGTATTATTCGCGTAACAGCAAGGTCAGAATCGTAGCATGGGCTGGCTAGCAAAAACACGCTCTGAATAAAAAATTCACTCGTTTAAATACTGACTTCATTTAACTTTAAATTTACATCCTGGCGAGGAAATGCGATGGGAAGTTGAGGAGTTCAGGAAAGGTAACAAAAATTTGAATAATTCGTTAATTGAACTAAGGGAAACCCTATATCGTAGATGAACTAATGCTGTGTTAAAAGAATTTTGGAGATGTACTGGTCTTCGATACATGTCGTTAATCCATTCCAGTTCATCAGAAGTATACCAGATGAATTTTTTTGAATAAGAAATAAAAGGGAAACAGTTGATCTGTTGTTATAAAATATTCTATTGTTATTATTTTTACACTGTTTAATAATAAAATAAAATTCCATACGGTGAAATATATGCTGTATATGAATGAATACTGTACATCATGCTATACAAAAATGCTTTTCTGCTATCCAGATGAAAGGCAATTTCTCAACATGTTGTAATATATCTGATCTTTATTAGATAACTGATTTCATTTCTTCCCTAACTCTAGCCGATTAAACAGAGATTTTATTTCTCACAAAAATAGATAAAACCATTTTCGGCAGACAGTAGCGGAAGTCCGAAATACCCATGATATCTTCATACATTTCCACATTCTTTTTTCTCTCCATCTCAATAGTGATCCTAACAATCCCCTTCGTTGCTTGATACTTGTCATTAACTTTCCTAAAACTCATTATTAACGAATTTATAAAGCGTTTGTATGAAAAATACAAAATCACTTGAAAATTCAGAGTTACAGTGCTGGTTGCTAACTGGATAGTAGCAACAGATGTACTAACACTGATGTGCAGTCGTAGCATTGTCTCGAAAGAGGTAAACAAGCGTAGTGTGCGCAGACGTGACTGATCGAACTCGAGTTGTGTTGCAAACAAGTATCGGATATCAAACAAAAGTTTTCGCTCCCAAACAGGACGTATATTTAGTTCGACCGCCTCCATGAGCGCAAACACGCATGCGCCATTCGGAACGAATTGTTCTCAAAATAGGGTGGAAGGATGGGGAATGTCTTTACCTCCAGCATATACAGAGAATGTTGAGACATTTTTGTAACGACTTTGATTTTCTACATGAATTTAACTATTAATTTTAAAATACAAACGTGACTGGCATCCAATTGGAATAAGGTTTAATTATCGTCTGCAATATTAAAAATATACTTTTATTTAAAATATCTCTGAGAAATAAACAATGCATCGGAAGGTTATAATTTTGCGCTATATGGAGAGAAATATTCTTATTCAGTTTGTAGAGACATTAGGTTATTCTAAGCAGGTGAGATGAAAAATGAGCAGTGCTCTCGCTGGGACTCGAACCATGGAGCTCTCGAATACGCGTCGAGCGTGCTGACCACTACACCACGAAGGCATGCTGAGAAGGCGGAAAAAATACCTTATAATTTATTAAGAAAAGCTGTGAAAAGCATGGTTTTAATATTGCTACACGTAAAATAAGTGACATAATTAATATGAAAGGAAAGAAATGGGCAAAGTTTACATTTGAATGAGCAAAAAGGGCAGACCCAACAAAGGTACGTACAACTCTTATTAAATCTAAATTCGCTTCTCATATTTTAAAGGTAAATCCAGCCCCCCAAAGAGCTTTTGCAAAATCTTTAAATATCTCTGTAGGAACTGTGAACAAAATTATAAAATCTTTTAAATCTAATCAAAACAAACAAACAAAAAACATGATGTTCGTCGCCTAACGCCGAACCATGTTTCTCGGCTTAAGACTATGTGCAGATTCCTTCATGAAAATTATTTGGCAGGTGAAAGATAGAAATTTATAGTTACAATTCATTGGGGCTTGGATATACTTATTCGATTGCACTAGAAAAAGATCGATTTACTACCGAAATAGAGAAGACTTAATATATATTGGTTCGGAGAAAATAAGGAAAGGGTTTCTAAAGGTTTTGTAGTTATTACTGGATTCTCTTATAACGTAGAACTTAAAGTAATGAAAGTAGAAAAAATGTTAAAATAAATTCGGATTAATATCAGAAATATGTTTTAACAGCTATTTTTTAGAAGAAATTCCGTCTCTTTATCCAAACAATCTTCACTGTGTTAAGTTCCGTCAGGATAAGGCTCCAAACCACACCTCTAAATTTACTGCTGTAACCAATCCTTTAACATAAACTGTTGGACTAACTGTAACAACAAAGATGCCCTCTGGTGAGCAGCCAAAGAAGGACTTCAGTAAAAGCCAAGTGTTTAACCTGATAGGTTGTTTCAGACTCTTGCTTTGTAATTTTCTTAAAGTTATATGTAATGTCCGCTCGTAACTTAAATTTGTTAATATTGTTACGTTTTTTTTTCTTCTTCTTTACGTTCGTAAGTACGGGTTCGCGCGGATTTGGCGTGAATAACGACGAAAGCACTTGATGAAATATCGAAACACACTTTATTTAGCCAATATTAATCAGGACAGCTCCAAAGTCACTTTTTTCAGTCGTCGAAGATCTACTATACACTCGCTGGAACAATCAGCGACACAGCCTCCAGGTTATCAGGCTATATCGGTGAAGACAGCTTCACTGCAAAGCACTAGAGTACAGGTCCCGACTCTCTTCGGTCGTTCTCGGAACTTAACACACTTTCTCGACGATGCACTAACCGCGATACACTAAGAGACTCTTCGATGCACTCGACGACCAACTCGGCGCTAGACTTCGAGACGCTCGCTCAATGACTAACTATCAGCTCGCTGGCACGCACTGATTGCGGACCAGCAGGGTTTATATAGCATTCGGCTTGCGTTCGAGAACATTCTGGGCTAAACCTTTAAGAATTCGTTCCAGAAGGTTCTCCATCCGTCCATGGCATACCGCCAATTCTGTCTCCAAATGGGCGATTTATCGAAAAATGTGGCAACCCTCCCAAGCCTTGCCACTTTATGGCAACCCCAAAACTGCTTTGTGCGGAAGCTATCTCATCGCGCCTGTACATTCCGTAACAATATATACAGGTTTAAGTTACACACATAAACCTGTAATTGCTATACTATAAGGAACTTTTATATGACTGTATCCAACACGACCCCTCATACTGCTCTATTTTTTGAAACAATGGGAAATGAAACCGGAATTGTGGCTATTCCCATTAAGTGTATCCCACTCAAGTCCCGTGATATGTCTTCTACGGATTTTTACTTTTAAAACAAGCTGGTTATAAGCTTCGAAACATTGGATGGAGTCCGGAAGACTGTGAAAGAGGAAGTGGAATAAAATCAACCTTGATGTTTTAGGGAAAGGATCTTTATTTTGGAATCAAAATGTAATATGATAGTTCAGAAAAGGGCTATCAGATCGAACATATTAGAAAATAAAATTCTAAGGTTTGTTTACATATAAATCTTTCCAAAATCGTTACAAAAATAATGTGAACACCCTCTGTAAGTTTTGTCTTTTTGGAGAAAAGAAGACATTCACGTGGTAGCAAGTAATAACGCCCTTTTTGGACGAACCTATGCGTTTTTGCAGAATGCCAGCCAAAACTGCGTTTGAATCGGTCGGACTATACCAAGTGGGTCGCATTTCAGAGCGAACGCATACCGACGTAGCCCTGCCTGTGAAGCAGAAATCCATAAACAGGTGGGTATTCATATTGTGAACAGATGATTATCTTTTTTTGCTGAAAGAAAAGACGTTAAAAAAAAGCATGATTTCGTTAAAGAAAGGCCTAACTGGCAAGAACAGAAAGTATATTTACAAGCAGAACATTTTCTTCCTATCTTCTTCAGAAATCTCACCGGGACCTGCGTCTACTTCCATGGAATCTCTGTAAGCTGTATACACACTCCTTGTATGGTTGTAACATTCTTCCATGAAGCTCTTTTTGATGCATCCCGTGTTGCTTGCAAGAGCTGTTTGAAAGTAAGAGATGAGTCAGGAAATATATGCAGTTAAATGCTTAAACGAAATGCTTAAACGACATTTCAAATTACTCCTCGAAGCAATGTTTATTTTAAAAATATTTATTAAAAATTTGAAAATATAAAAAGATAAAATAAAAATTTGAAAGCTTTCAGATTTTATATTACGCCCAAAGGGGCGCTTTTTCTAACGTTTTGTGTGTTACTTTAATTTATTAAATATCGTGTTCTTCACACTTAAACCATAAAATTCACTTCAACAGCATTATCTCAAAATATTTAGAAGAGCATAGCTTTAGAATTTCCGATACACAGCCTCGCGCACTGAAGACAAAAGAATTTTTTTTTCGCAGTGTTGCCATTGCTCACTTTGAAATCGTTAAGTTTGTTAATAAAAAATTCGTTAAAGTTTTACAAAATAGGAAATAGATAATAAAAAAAAATTAATTCCAAATTCTAAATTTGGGCTTCCAGATGCCCATATTCGAGTGGAGGGCTACGTTATTCGGAACTGAATGTCTCTAGGTACCGTTGGTTTTTCACGATACATATATTCATGAAGATTTTTAATTACTTAATTTCTTTAAAAATAATGCAGGCGTCTAATATTTGGTGGCAAAAAACTGTAAAGTGAAACGCCGTGTTATAATGAACCGTTGCAAAGTGCTAAAAAGGAATTACTAGCCCTTCTGAACAAACTGCCACTTTTGGGCTAAAAAAAATCAAAAAAGTTAAAAAAAATGTTGTTGTTTTCCTATCAAATTCCAGTTTAACATCAGAAAGAGATTTCTGATCCGCATATATCTACTGTTACACGAGCTTCTTGAAGCTTCGGAAGAAATCGTTTCTAAAGCCTCAAAAACACTTTTCCAGAAATCTTCCACAAATTTGCCAAGCTAACTAAAAGTCGCCAAATATGGTCAACTTGGTGGCAACAGTTTGTCGCCAAGGTCCATGTTTGCCCATACTTTATGCTTTCTTTGAGATATTGTTTTCGATTTATATAGTCAAAATTGAAAGATCTAGAGCTTTCTAGAGCCATTTATAAAAATATTCATGCTCAGGGATGTACTTAAATATTATAGAAAGGATAAGCAGGTAGGTACAGCAACCACCTTGATAAAAGTCGCCGGATTTTCACGATGTACCAGTAACAACCAGGCTCATACTCATTCTTCAGGCTACCATGCTCATAACAGTCCTTCAGAAAAAAACGAAGCCAGTCGCACTGTCTGAGCTAAATCGCACTGTCACCTGGTGCTGAAGGCTGTTGAAAACGGCAGGCGTAAAACTTGCGCTCCTTGCCACGAGGAATTTTGTGGACTCGGGCTGATTATAGGTCAGAGAAGTGAGGATTAACAACTATAACAACCACTCTGCTTTCTGTATTTGTTCGTCGACCATTTCTATAAAAATATAACTGACGCCGAATAGTGCGATTTAGGGATAATAATGGATAAGAATAACGCCAGAACACACTTAAGATCCTCTCTTTGGCTTTATATAACCCCAATTTTGAATAATCTAGCATGGGAACTTCTATTGACTTCCCGATAAATTGACTTCCCGATTATTGACTTCCCTTCTATTGACTTCCCGATTTCCCGATAAATTGTAAATTATATCGGATTCATAAAAGTTATCTAAAACTAATGAATTATATGCTGCAAGGATTCGAATATTTTAAAAATTTAAAGGCTGATCCAGGACACATGTCAGTTGATACCAGTAAGAAAAACCCACAGAGATCAATAGAAACCAGTAAAAGTCAGTAAGGATTAACAGAATTCTATGGGTACCAGTAGAAAGTTTTACTGGTTTCTATGGGGCATTTTGAGACTAGTAAGAAGAAACCCACAAAAGCCAACAGAAACCAGTAAAAGTTAGTAGAAATGCCACAGAATTTTATGGGTAACCATAAAAAGTTTTACTGGTTTCTATGGGGCACTTTTACCGAGGCAGGTATGGCATAGTACGAAACTATCGGAAAATAAAAAGGCAAACGTGAGCTGTTACCTTCATGAAGTCTGGAGTCCTTTCGGCAGACATCTTGCAGAACTTCAAGATATCCAGTAATCTCTTCAAGATTATCTGAAGCGCATTTCGTTGCATGTTCCTGCATACATTTGTACAAATTCACTAGAATCCTGAAAAAGGTGTCCTTATTTAATTGAGACATATAGCCGGAGGCGTTTTACGAAACGTCTGAACTTAATAGAAATAGCATATATGGAAAATAAGCTAAATAATGTAGAAAGTTGCCATAGCAATTAACATGTTACATATTGATTAACCAGCGGTATTCATCATTATCGAATCAATAATATTTTCTAAAATTAATACCGTATGATAAGAAAAAATGGCGATCAAAGAACATTTGTTTGAGAATCTCAAAAAATATCACAATATTTACATTTTTGCATATTTCGATTTTACGACTCAATTATGCCTAAATATGAAATTTTGTAAAATTTGGTGCGAAATTTACGGGGAAATTCACAAATTCATGTTGGCACTTTTTCTTCACCTTGCGCCAAGAATAGTTCACTTGGCGAACTTCTTAATATATGGCAACCTATTTTCCTTTTTACACTGTGCGTAAGGGGAAAGAAAGTCACATCGTTCTTTCTTTCAAAATAATGTTCGTTATATTATATGTTTATGTTATTATTTTTAAATTTTTTTTATCTTTTTCGAATTTCAGTTTAATTGTTTAAGCTGCACGGTTTCTTTCAGATAACTTTTTAAAAATTTCTATTTACTCATTTGAACTGTGTAGTTTAAATAAAAGGTGCATCGTTTATTATTATTATTTTTTTTCAAATAGTTTTCTTTGAACTATATTTTTTAGTCATAGTTATTATTTTAGGTGATTTTTGAATTTTTAGACTTTAATTTTTTGTGTTGCATTGTCTCTTCAGATTATCGTTTTAAATTTTCTATTCATTCATTCGAAGTGCGCATTTTAAATACATTTATTAATATAAATTTTTCAAAATTTGGTTTTATTTATTTGATTTGAGTTTATTTCGGAAGAATACTTTGTGGCCCAGACTACGATGCGTTTGAAAACTGCATATATTAAAAGAGAAAATACAGTAAAGCACAGTTAACACGCCTTTCAACGTTCCATTCAGAAAAGATATATAAATAAGAGAGATATATATCCGGCATTTTAATTTAGGATGACTTTCATACATTGCTTTAAACAGGTTTCTCATTGTGCCCATTGCTTTACACAATTTTTTCATCCTATTTTTAATTTCTCTAAATGTTGTTCATCTTTTATTCAAATATTTTATTTTTCAAAAGGGCCTACAAACGGCCGAGCGGGAAAGTCGCTGAGTACTGTTAGTTCGCTCCGAGGTTCGAATACCGTCGAACGGGCTGGTTGCATGAGCGTTTTCGTGGTTTTTCTTATGTGTAACGTGTATACGAGCTGGTTTCGCTTAGAAAGTTCTTCACGAAGGCATCCCTCCTTCAAGGCAGATAGAGTATTTGGTCAGAGCTTTTATCAGTCTTTACAGGCTAAGCATTTTGAAGGGGTTAGATGAAAGGAAGGTGTGGTTTCATCAAGAGGAAAAACGTCTTTAGCTAATATCTATATACGTCGCTGGATAAATTCAGGAATCTTTAAATAATTCGACTAACTCATGGGATGCTCCGTTTATGATATGATATGATGTTCTATGAAGTAAATTAAATTTATACAAACGCCAGGTCTTCTTTTATATAGTCGAAAACCAGTCTCTCTTTACTTTAATCTGTAATGATATCGTTTTTGGTCTTTTCCGTTAGCACAAATTCAATTGCTGCTATTTGCTAGTATACACGTCCAAGTGTTTTCCCTTTGAACACCCAACTTCCTTGAAGTAGATTCCCCTTTAAATTTTTGCTTCCCCGCCCTAATTTCCTTCTTTCCTTCTACATTTGTTTTCAGTGGTGACACAGAATTAAGATTTTTAGATTGTTACACTTCCATAAATTTTACATTCTTGTAAAGTTTTTTAAAATTATCAGTTGCATTAAATGCGTTTTAACTGAAGACAGCTTCCAGACAATTTAACTATAAATAAAGTTTAAAGCAACGTCCAAAGGATAAATTTCTGAATTAAAATACTTTTGTTAAATGAGAAAGAAATAAACCACTCGAGCAGCGCTTATTCTGTACCCCCAAGTGACCCAATTTTTATAAAAAAATCTTAATCATATTATTTAGAGTTTTTAAGCCTAAAAATTTCTATATTAAAAAGATGTTTTTATATAATCTACAACAAGAGAGAAAATTACTACTTAAAACATTCTTTATAAGATGATTAATGTAAAAATTTATGTTTAAAGCTGTGACATGACCCAAAGTGTCAACATCTTATTTGCTTAAAAACATTGTAAAAATAAATATCAAACTAACTTTTCTCAGTTTTAGGCAATTCAATTTAAATGAAGTTAAAGTAAAGTAGCAGACGATAACACGGCGAAGGTAAAATTTTACTCTTACAAATATTAAAAAAAAAGAGGAAAAAGGAAAGAAATTAAAAAAAAGTTGCAAATTTGAATAATATCATCTATAAATAAAAAAAAATAGCTTTTCATATAGTATTAATAAATATTTATTACGCGTCACTGAGGGGGAAAAATTCATATAATTAATTCTCCGCAAAAATTTATTCGAAATTTAAAGTTAAAAATAGCTCTGGCAATTCTGTGTAACAAAATGCATCACATTTGGCGTTATTATCACTCAAAATACATAAGATGCCAAATTTCAAACCGCGCATATATGTAAATTCGTGTATATCTTGGAAAATTTTGAATAAAAAAGTCTAATTTTTTGCAGGTATGCTTAGAAATACACTTACTTTAAGATGATAGTAAAAATTTTATAGGTTATAATTCAAAATTTTTCGAAAAATATATAAAAATTATTTAAAAATACAAATTTTAAAAATAAATCATAAAAAATGGGTGAATTTTATTTGGAATGAACATTAATCTGAAATGTGAAAGGAAGAATAAAAAAAGTTTAAGAAAAAATGAGATATTAATAAATATATACCAAATTCAATTAACATTGAGGAGCTAAAATTTTGAGAGCTCATTTTTTAAATCTACTCGTGCCATTTTTACAAAACTTGGTATCGTCATAGAATCGAAATCATAGAGTCATAGAATCGAAATATGGAAAAAAATTGGCATGCCACTCCAGAAAATACTGTCATATTGTGTCAAAATACCTATGTTAGAATGATGATATATATAAATCTAATATATATATTAAGTCGCGCTTTTGAGACATGGAAAACGCAATTTGAATTTCGTCAATCGGCCTAGTAGAACGGCAGATATAGAACTGTCCAATGTGATTTTTTTCGCAGTGTAAATTGAACTGAATGACCTTATTAACTGAATGTTCATTAGCTTACTTTTCATTAGCTTCTGGCTGGAGGAAGTGAAAAAGTTTATCCTTTTTTTTCAACTGTTTAATCTGCACAACAGAAACAAGATCATGATGGTTTGTTTAGTAAAACTGAAGATACCGCTGAGAAATAAAGGAATTTATATTTTAATTAACTTACAGACATGCTTCCTCGAATGCCTTTTCGGTTTCTGGAAATTCAATATTTTTTTCAAGTTCACATATTTCCCAGGTGTGTTGGTAGCAGTTATCATCCGTTCCTAGAACTCCTAAATAATAAAATTAAATACAAGAGTGGTCTATAATACATAGATGACATCTATTTTACTATGAAGGACACACTTCTTTTTAAAGCATTTAACACAAAAAGCTTTCCAATAACGCATGAAACCCTAAAACTAGGTAAAACAGTCGATAGATGCAATACCAGGTTTTGTATACCGTTTATTTTATGCGTATTTTTATGATAGCTTTTTAGCTCAAATTTCTGAAATATTAAAAAACATTTGCATATTCTCCCCCCTGAGGTCTAAATTATTGGTAAATTACATTCGTTTGATTATTTTAAACTTTATTGAATTTTTATTGGCAATTTTGTACTAGTATAAGATATTTTCTTCCTCCTTTCTGCATGCGTGGGTGGTGTAACGGCAGCATACTCGACGCGTATTCGAAAGGTCCAAGTTCGAGTCCCGGCGACGGAATTGCACATTTTTTATATATTCAGTATATAAAATAACCTAATGAACCTACAGTGGCGCCCGAACTAAAAGGGGGTGGAAGACGATTCCTCTACACCATGATCTGGCTATTGGGTCACCTAATCCCCAGTTGCCCTGTAAAAGGGGAAATGTATTTTCTGCCTTCTTTCTGTATGCCTTTGTGGTGTAACGGTAGCACACTCTGCGGGAATTCGAGAGGTCCCTGTTCGAGTCCTGGTTGGGGCATTGCACATTTTTAACGATTCCTGCTTCAAATAACCTAATGACGCTACACTAGCATTTCATCCTTTTTATTCTTCCTTACATTTATTATCTGAAACGTATTTTGCGCATATTCTTCGTTAAGCTATCCGGACGTGGTAAGCGCTCTCGTACTTGAGAAACTTTCCAAGCATCTTGTTTCACCTTACTTCTACTATTTACGTTCCTACTCATTACAGCCTTGTGACCATTTGTATATTATTCTATCACTTCGAACTTAGTCACGAGCTTCTTCCTTTCAGAACGGTATGCAGATTTCGAGAAGAGAACAGGGATTTAAGCAGTTAACTGAAACCGATAGTGGGTCAGTCGATTGGTAACCTGCAGTTGTCTTATATCGGATGTCTGACCCTGATTGATTTGAAGTTTTGCCTAAAGAATGGAGCCGAATCTGGTCATAAGTACGGTAGATCATAGGAACCATTGTAGTAACAATTTGATTATCCACGCTGGAGTACGTGACGACGAGAAAAGTCCTATCCAGGACTGTAGAGATTTATTTAGTTTGATTAACAGTTAATGTTTAGTTAAAGTAACTTTCCTTTTAGTCTCGTTTCCACCAGTGCTTTCCTGCCAGAATACTAATTATATACCGCTCGGGTATTCAAACTGAGAGGGAAAGAAGTACTGTTCAAGCTTTTTAAAGCATGTTATAAAGGCATGTTGTTGATTTTAGAGTATGTCGTATACTGCCTGAAGGCCACGTTGTTATTTTGAATTACTAGCGATTTGATTCTGTGGCGTTGATTGCTTCTAGCCATTAGGATTGTTTCCGCCGGTTTCTACTCATCAGAGCCTTCTTACTCATTGAATTATCCTGTGAGCTATTAGGCTAGTTTAATTATATTTTACTAGAAAGCCCGGCGGTCATACGAAATGACCGCTGTTCTAGATATTATAAATTGTAATTAAAATGATTTGTGCAAAGATGTCTGCTAATTCAAACTGAATTACCCAGGGCAGGCGGCGAGGACGCCCTTTTGCTTACTGCCCCTTCTACTTGCTTAATTGCTTAAAGTAGAGTGCTATCAAGGAAACCACTGGCGGTACATTTCATAAGAGCCACCACTAGCTCAATAAATAAAGGTGATTTAAATAATAAAATTTTAATTAGCATGTCAAGGATCTCTTTGTACCCAACATTTCTTGTGTAGATCTTTTCCTTATTTTTAAGCTCGCCTTGCAGAGGACCATCCATTATTTTTAATTTACGCCCGTTCTTTCACGAAATCTTGAACAGGCAACATAAAGTTGACCGTGTCCAAATGTAGGCTCAGGTAAAAAAATGCCAACACGCTTAAGCGTTTGTCCTTGAGGATGGTCATAGCAAAGGCAAGTTTTACAGGAAATTGTCTACGTCTCAATTGAAACGGCAACCCTGTGCCGTGGCAACTTCACCCCATTGGCTAGTACAGTTACGCAAGCAACCCATAAACTATCGGCGACAAACAGACACTTGAGCCGCATATAATAAAGATATTTATTTATTTCATTTGATTTGTTTTTTAATCGTTGCCAGTTTTTGCCGGTTGCATATTTCCGAAATCTATTATATGTAGATGTTAAATTTATTTATTAAATGTTAAATACACGTGCTCTTGTATTTTTAATTTTTCCGGCTTAGCTTTCTCATAATATTCGTATTCGTCACGCGCTGCACTGCACGGGGAATAAAACAATTTACAGTTACGCAAGCACCAATAAACTACCGGCGACAAACACTTAAGCCGCATATATATATAAGATTTTAAGGTCAACATTACCTGTTTGAGTTAAGCCTGAAGTGTTAGAATTATGAAAACGCAAGTGGGGCCATCTGTGCAATTATATTAGTTTGAATAAAGAGTCTTTTGCACTCTTCTTCTGACTTTTGTGTTGTATTAAGGCTCGAGGATAATTTCTCATACAGTCTGTTCAGAACTCCGTTAGCTTATGCTTCCTAAGAGAATGAGACTCTATACAGTAAGTTTACGGTGAGCCTGGTGAAAAGTAATGAATTGTAGTTCCTCGCATGATTATTAAATAAATGTGAACTTTAGTTTGAATTAGACTTGTAGGGTTCTTCACTCTTTTTATCCAAGGTGTACGTCGAGGAACCTAGTGAACTGTGTAGCGACTTATCGCCGAGTTCAACTGCCCTTTATTTCATTCAAAATAAGATAACAGTCGGCCCCTTTCTCGAGCTTACAACGAAGCCTCTACTCGGGCTTAAACTCAGAATAAGATATAATAACTAAACTATAATTAACTAAGTGAGACTTAGCCAAAGCTAAACACGAGTATCTAATGTAGTTGGCCCTTAATTTAAACTAGTTGGCGAATATCAAAAGGCACGTAATAATACAGTCGAGCGGTAACAGCTTCAACAGAGAGTTAACCCGAAGGCAAACACGCGCTACTCAGGATTCCTAGCTCTCTCTCACGAAGTAAGCTGAACCTTCCTTAAATACTTCTAATGCATTTGCATTCAACGCAGTTCCAAAATCTCATTCTGGTAGGGAGTTGTAAGTGGATACAAGAATTGATAGGAAAGCGACTTTGAAATGAAAATAACTGGTATAAAATTAAAATATACGTTATGGATTTTTATATCTCTATTTTGTCTCTTAATAATCAAGGAGAGACGCAGTACAGTTTTTAATGTTAAATGCTATTAAATCTTGATCTGCATGCAGTTATCCTTTCCATCTCGATAATTCGGGAACGGAAGTTAGCGGTACTTTTTAAACTTAGGATGTCGGTGGTACTTTGTGCACTTATAAGATATTTCTCCCGCCTTCTAGCGTGCCTTCGTGGTGTAGGGGTTTGCATGCTGAGAGCGTATTCCGGAGTCCCTGGTTTGATTCCCGGTGAAGGCGTTGCTCATTTTTCACATCTCCTGCTTACAAGAAATACCTAATGTCTCTGCACTGGTGCCCGAACTTAAAGGGTGGTGGATGATGATTCTCCACAGCCAGGATTTGGTGACTGGTCTCCTAAAAAACCCCAGTCGCCTTTTAAAAGGGGAGAATATAAGGTATTTCTCCCGCCTTCTTGGCATGCCTTCGTGGTGTGGTATGCACGCTGAGTGCGTATTCCAGATGTCTTTGGTTCAATTCCAGGGGAAGGCGTTGCTTATTTTTCCTTACTCCTGCTTTAAAAATAACCTAAGGTCTGTACTCACTTAGGAACGGAAGTTGTGCAGCTCGTGGAACGGAAGTTAGTGGTTCTATACAGCTAGCTGTATTGGTCATATTGTAGAGTCATTAGGTTAATTGGAAGCAGAATGGATGAAAAATATGCAACCGCCTTCGCCGGGAATCGAACCACGGACCTCTGGAATACCGGTCCAGCGTGCTACCGTTACACCACGAAGGCACGTTAAGGGGAAATACCTTATTAATTCAAAATATTAAAGCTAAAACAAAAGTGCCATGCTACAGCTAATAAATCTGATCTTTCGAAAGTCGGATGTTTTCTTCGCTCCCTTCTTCCTGGTTCCTCCGATGTCCATTTTGGGGAGAGCTGAAGTCAAGACTCATTCATGTGAAGAGTGCCCGCCCAAGGCTATACACGGTATTACCGTCAGACCTCGGCTCAATATCCGTCAGATATTATATTAACATTACTATGCATTATATTAATTTAGAAATCTAACAACAAAAGTCAGCGTTATATTTGCAAATTTTCACAGGACTCGTTTCAATGGTTTTACAGAACCATCATCGTCAGCTGCCAAAGTGCAAGTGAAAAATTCATCATAAGAAAAGAACGAAATAGTTCAGCGGCGAAAGTGCATTTTTCATTTGCACTTTGGAAGCTGAGGATGACGGTTCGGTAAAACCATCGAAACGAGTACTGCGAAATTTGCCAAATATAACGCCTCAAATTTGTTGTTTGACTTCTAAATTAATATTTGTTCGGAGTGTTATTTTTACCTAAATTATTTCTATGCATTATTATTGGAATGTAGTTTTCTTTAAAAGAGATAATATTATGACAGTTGCTGGTATTTTATCGATGACTACTTTTCCTTTGTTATATTCTCACTACAACTGTGTTCTTCGGAAATTAAATTTATTGTCTACTTTTAGACGATACAATTAGTTAAAAAGGGACGCAAATGCGAACGGAAATGAAATATTATCATATATTGCAAGAATATTATTGGTAAAGAAATCACTTGACATCTAAAACAAAGAGAAAATTTAAACTTGCTAACGGAAAATAGAATGACTTCTCAGAAGGCTTCGAATTAAGTGAGCTAATTAATAAATGCTCATAATCTGTTATTAACAGAGAATGCAGATATATTTTGAAATGTCTTTAAAAAATGCTATAATATCTTTAAAC